ATTCCTGTGTGTATGTGATGAATTTCTCTTGTAATTCTCTTGTAATTTCCCTGCAATTTAATTAAATATTACGTATCCTCTAATTGCCCTAGTAAGAAAACAAAAACAAAAACAACCTGAATGAGCTTGTGAGTTGTGGTTTGATAGATGCTGACCCAAAACAAACCTTGGATCTAGGATAGATTTTAATGGGTCTATACAGGGCTGGGGAACTAGGATAGAAAGAAAAGAGAAAGGAAATAGGCTCTGCTAGCATTCAAGATTATCTTCAATCTGCTTATCTAATATACCTTTCCAGGCATCCCTGATACTATTTCTCTTCACCTATTCAACATTCCAAAGCGGGCTACCCACCATGCTCCACTCTCACCTGCCTTCACTTATACCATCCTCCATCCTGGAATGGACTATGAGCCACTCCTACCCCCAAAGTCTCCCTGTTAAGATCATCCCTTGAAGCCTAATTTCATGTACCACCACCAGCCCACAAAGATTTCCTAAGACAGGCCCACTACTAGCACCTCACTGTTGCAACTGGCATCTACTTCCTCAAATTCCTCAAAGTTGTTTTTTCGGATACACGTAAAAGAAGACAAGACTACATCAACTTTCAGGTGATTCCTGCCCACACATCCTATGGCTGGATTTCTCCTTTGCCCTTAGCATAGTTTTGCCTTGCATCACACATGTGTCCATGTTGGAACCTTCCCCTCACTCCTCTTTAGAATGTAGAGTCTTTGAGGAAAAAGACAGAAGGAAAAGTTCAGCATGTCAGAGAGCCATGGCATGGAGGAGTCTGGAGGCCCAATGGGCTTGCACATGTCCTGTGTACTGTGTAGGAAGGGTGGACACACCAGAAAGAAAGGTTTACTGATTCCCCTGGGTGGCATTGTAAGTGTGGAGAATTGTTGGATTCTCTGGAGGAAAGGGTAGGGTTGTTTTATTTCCTAGCAATCCTAAATTATTTCCCCCTGGAGGAGAAGAGGAAGCCACTACAGATAGTTCTATAAGTCTGCAGGATGGTGTGGGTCCCTGAGGAAGGTGGAGTCCCACCAGAAAGGGAAGAGAAGTTGTTTTCACTATTTATGGGTATTGGATATGAGTCCTTTGGATTTTCTGTCAGGTTAAATAAAATCTATCCTGAAGTTAATGTTTTATTAACCTGAGTGTTTGAGTGGAACAGATGGCCTAAATTTAGTGAGGCAGAAACCAAAATTGGATGTTATAACTGACAGAGGTGAGGAGCCTGCGGCCTCAAGGCCACATGTGGCCCTATAGGTCCTCAAGTGTGGCCTTTGGACTGACTTCAAGTTTGAGAGACCAGATTCTTTTATTAAGGGGATTGGCTTTTGACTGACTTCAAGTTTTAGAGACCAAATTCTTTTATGAAGGGGATTTGTTCTGTGAAGTTTGGATTCAGTCAAAGGGCCACACTTGAGGACCCAGAGGGCCACATGTGGCCTCGAGGCTGCAGGCTCTCCACCCCTATGACATAGCAGAAAACACTGGATAGGAGCATGAACCAGATATTGATATTCCCAAGAGAGATCCTGGGTGGGTATAAAATGAGCCATAAATATAATTCTAGAAAGCATCCTCCAACAGCGAACTTGGTCCATGTTAAATTGGAGCTGTGGTTCTTGAGACATGGATTGCATTGATTTTCAAACCCTATTTGCCTTTTGAACTATGACACTGAGCCCCTCTGAAAAGTAACTGCCTCTAAGGCCCCTTCCAACTCTGCAGCTTTATGACTGTAAAAGCCCAAGTCGTTTAACTTTGCTCAGGACTGTGGTTCCCTCATCTATAAAACAAAGGTAGATACCCGTTCTCCCTACTTCATAGGAACCCATTGTCCACAAGCACATCTCAGTGCCCACTGGTAGAGCTGACAAGCCCTGAGAAGATTCACATGCTTTGGCTAATGTAGAAATATGTTTTGCATGACCTCACTTGTATAACTGAAATCAAATTGCTTGCTTTCTCAAGGAGGGGGAAGGGATAAGGGAAGGAATTTGAAAGTCAAAATTTTTTTAAATGATTGTTAAAAAAATTTTTTTACATGCAGTTGGGAAATATTTAATAAAATAAAAATAATTTTAAAAAATAAAGTTAATGATAACACCAAAAAAATAATATTCATATGCCTGAGGGAAATCCGTAGGAACCCAAAATTTCCACATCTAACCATCCAATGTTTCATCTTCTGCAGTCCTAGGGAAAATACATTCCATTGTCCCTACCTCAAACAACCAAGTAGGCCCAAGTAATCAACTTCAGAGCTCCTCCTAGTTTTTGTTTCACATTCCCATGCCTCTGCACATTTCTGGTGCCCCCTACCCACACTCAAACTCTCACTCCTTTTCTCAGGTCCCAGAATCCCTAATACTTTCTTCCTCCCAGATCAAGCACCATCCCCATCTGCCAGTCTTCCTCTATTTACCTCATCCCTCTCAAACTTCCAAGACCTAGACTATTCCATCTTTTGTCTAACCACATCACCCTGCTTTACCTATGCCCTAAAGATGGTCCCCCCCATTTCCCTGCCTCTCCCCTTTTTGTAGTTCATATCTGTTCCTTCAAACTCTGCTCTAAAACTACAGTAGGAGGGATTTATGTTAGATGGGAGATTAAATTACACACCAACTCCCCTGCTGTGAGAGTGGTCAAACCACACTGCAGCAAAGAAGTCTGGGAAATTCTCCTGTATAGGATTTTAAGAAAAGGCTCTTACACAGAAACCAATCCAGGTTCTATTCCCTCTCCCAGACTGAAGGAGACACGCAGTTCTGCACCAAAGACTCAAGGACACCTTCTGCTTCTGGCCCTGTGGTTCAATAGCTAGCCTTTACAGGTATTATCTCGTTTAATCCTCACAACCCTGGAAGGCAGGTAGTGCAGTAGATAGAGCACCAGGAAGACCCGAGCTCAAATCTGAACTCAGACATTTATTAGCTGTGACTCTGGGCAAGTTACTTTACTTCTGTTTGCCTCAGTTTCCTCATCTGTAAAATAGGGATGATAATAGCACCTGCCTGCTGAAGTTGTAAAGATCAAATGAGATAATAATTGTAGCACTTAGCATAGTGTCTGATACATAGTAAGCACTATAAAATGTTAGTTATTATTATTTTGAATATGAAGAAATTGAGGGGCTACGAGGTGGCACAGCGGATAGAGCACCGGCCCTGGATTCAGGAAGACTTGAGTTCAAATCCGGCCTCAGATACATAACACTCACTAGCTGTGTGACTGTGGGCAAGTCACTTATCCCTATTGCCTAGCCAAAAAAAAAGAAAAAAGAAAAATTGAGGCTGAGAGGTTGTTACTTGCCCAGGGTCACATAGCTAGTTAGTGTCTTAGCTGGGATTTGAGCTCACATAAGTCAATAGCTTAGAACCTAAGTCTTCTAGAAATGGCAATCAGAGGGCAGACCCCATACTCTAAAGGTCCATCCCATTTTTAGAGCTGTATCTAAGGGGTTTCCCCTCCCAAAGGTTTAGCACCACCTTCCATATTTCTGGTCCCTATACCTGCATAGCCACAATGAAAGCACAGATTCATAGCTGCCAAGGACCTTAGGGACCATTTAATCTCCATCCCCCTCATTTTACAGGCAATCCTTCACATTCACAAAGCACTTTATAAATGTATAACTCTGCGAGTTAAGACATTGCGAGTATTATTACTCTCGTTTCACAGATGAGGAATCTGAAGTGATTTGCTCAAATTCACACCACTGGTAGTCAGTGTAATAAAATCAATGCAGAGCCAGGAAGAGTCGATGATAAGCCGGAGGGTACCAAGAGGAGGGAAATCCAGATGGCAAGGGGACTCAAAATCATGTCATGCAAGCTGTGTGATCTTCAAATCACATCCTCTCTGAGCCTCAGTTTGGGAGAAGTGGAGCTGCTTCACCTGGAGAAGAGAAGCCTTGCAAGGAATACGAGGGCTGCTTTACAAATACTTAGAGGGCTGCCATGTGGAAAAGGGATTAGGCTTGTTTTGTTTGGCCTACAAGGAGGGAAATTTTATTCAGTTAAGCATAAAGGAAAACTTCCTAATAATTACAGCTTTCCAAAAATAGAATGGGCTGACTGGGGGGATAGTGAATTCCCTATAACTGGAGGTCTTTTAGTGGAGGCTACATGATGACCACTTGTGGGAAAGGGGTAAATGGAGACAGAGTTCCTGATTGAGGTACCGTTTGTACCAGATGACCGATAAGGTCTCTGCCAACTCTGAGGCTCTGTGATTATGTCTGTCTTTTTAGCCTCCCGGGGACCTCAGTTTCTTCATCTGTAAAATGGGAGTCCTCTCTACTTCATAGGATGGCTGTGGAAATCACATCTGACACAGCAGGTATGTTGAAAGCACTTTGTGAAGTTTTATATGACTATACCTACTGGTAAGAGGCAGAGCTAGGACTTACTGACTCAAGTCAGCCAAATTAATGACCCTCTAGGGATCTGTTTCCCCATCTGTAAGACAAAGGGGGTGAGATATAATGACCTCTAAGATCTCTTGCAGCTTCCGATACCGTGAACTAACAAGCTTGCCCCAGATCTCCCCCAACTGACCCAACACTCCATCTCCCACCTATGTGCCTTTGCACTGCCTGTGCCGGGAATACCCTTCTCCAGAAAGACTTACCAAGTTTCCTTCAAGAGTCAGCTCGAGTCACTTTCCGCATGAAACCTTTCTTAATTCCACCCCTCTCCCAGCAAATTTTCTTGCATTTATTTTGTACCTGTTGTTTCCCCCATAGAATACAAGTTTCTTAAAGACAGGAACTGATTCTTTTTTTGTCTGTGTATCTCCAGCGCTTAATACATAGTAGGTGCTTAATAAATGCTTGTTGATTGACTGCCAGATCCGCAGACTCCTTGGCTTCCCTTTTTGCCTCCTGCCTCTCCACTTCACTCCCGGGCCGACCTGCCCTCTTCCCCGGCCCCTGCCCCAGGCCCACCCCAAACCCCCTCCCCACCGCCAAGCCTCACCATCTTGGCAGCACCCGCGGCCTCTGAGGCCTCCCCAGCCTCTCTGGCCTCCCGGGTGAAGCCACCGCCGCTGCAGCTACTCTGCTACCGCCGCCGAGGACTTGGAGGTGTTGACGCGTCACCATAGCAACCGAGAGCAGGGCCTCGCTCCACCCCCTGGCGTGACCGCTCAGTTCCCTGCCCTGCCCAGGCTGTACGCGTCGGGCCTGGCGCCGGAATTCCTGGGTGGGTTGCCATGGGAACCAAGAGCCCCGCCCCCTTCCGTCTCAGTGCTCCCTGGGACGAAAAGACGTGGGGGATGATTACATGGATACAAAGAGTGTCGCCCCTTCTTGGGACCAGCAGTGCGGCATAGTAGCAAGAGCCCCAGACTTGGCACCGGACTTACTGGTTTTAATTGCTCATTTTCTGTGTCCTTGGGTTATTTTACCTTTCTATAAACCTCAGTTTCCTCATCTGTAACATGGGGAGAAAAATAATTAGGGGGCCTACGGAGATTGCCGAGGAAAGTCTTAGTCAAATTAGAGTTCACACCTCGAATTATCTTGCACAGGCCTGCGTAAGTGTGGCATCCCTCCTCCCCCACCCCTGCCTTAGTTTCACCCCTGCACTAGCACAAAGCTTTGCACATAGCAAGTGCTTAATAAACCCTTGAGTGAATGTGAGCTATTAATATTCTGACACTCTCTCCATTATTTTCTCCCACGAAGGATTCCAAACCAGGACTGGAGGGAGAGGGGGTAAAGAAAGGAGAGGAAATAAATCTCAGATGTATACTCCAAGGAGTATTAGTCTGACCCAGTCTACAACAGAAAGACAATGGGGTGTCCTGGAAAGGACTTGAGTCAGAACTGAATTCGAATTCTGGACCTGCTACAGCCTGCCTGACCCTTGGCAGAGTAAGACATGACGTAACCCCCTCTGGTCCTCAGTTTCCTCCTCAAAGTCACTGCCAGCCCTGAAACCTATGAACGGTGGTGAATAGACTTATTCCTCTTAGAAACACGAGTAGGGACAGAGTGCTAGATGAGGATTCATTATACCTGGGTTTGAATCTAATCTGACTAGATCTAAACTGAGGGAAAGTGGACAAATCCTTTCACTTATTAGAGCTTCTCAATTCTCTTTTCAGAGTTTCTCAATCTGCAGAATGGCTAGCATTTATATAGCATTAAGCATTTAATATAACACTATGCAAATGCAAGACAAACTTTACGAATATTCTATCATTTGAACTTCATAACATCCCTGTGAGGTATGTGCTGTTACTATCCCCATTTTGCATATGAGGAAATTGCCTGGATCACACAGCTAGTAAGTGTCTGAGACAGGGTTTGAACTCAGGTCTTCTGGATTGCTCTGTCCACTGACGAGGCCAGGCCACCATGGTATAGTAACCTTTGGCTTACCTCAGTCCAGTTCTTTACAGGGGGAAAATATGCACAAATAGATCTGGGATCTCATCGATTTGTGTTCTCCCTCCAACAAACCCAGCACAATTGACCCATATATCTGTGCTGTTTTTGTCCATTCTTTCCCATAACACCAGAAATAACCTTGCTCCATGACCCTCTGATCATAATATCAGATGACTCGTAAAACAAGGAGACACGATCACCAGCAGTGTTCTCCACAGTCAGGGAGCTAGGCAGAGTCCAATTTGAAAAAGGAGCCCCCAGGGATGGTGAAGTCTCGAAGAAGCTCTTTTTTGCTTTGGTGGAATTAAGCCCTGGGCATTGTGGAGATTTGGCATGGGGAAGGAATTTATAAACTGAAAAGTGCTCTAGAAATTGTTTCTATTAAGTCCACCTGGACATTACTATCCTTTTCTCAGATTCCTTCCCTGAAGTTACTTTTTTCCCCCGTGGCACATCCTAGGGTAAGGCAGACCCCAATGAGTTAGGCTACAGAGGGCAGAAATAAATATAACACAACAGAAGGAAGTGAGTTTAGACCTCTAGCCTGACCTAATGCAGCAGAAAGGGCAGAAAAAATCATTGGCTCTGAAGTTAGAGGACCTGGGATGAAATTCTAACTTTATTTATTTACTAGCTGTGGGCAGTTGGATCTCACTTTTCTCAGATATAAAATGGGATAACATGGTTTCTAAGTTCCCTTAAGGGTAGGAGGGGTCAGGACCTGTGATTTCACCATTGTGGAGAACTCAGGTAGGGAGCTTTTTCTGAAATGTGCAGTCTTAAGAGTTGCCTCAAGCCTTAAGAGGTTAAAGGACTGGTTCACGAGCTGTCTGAGGGTGTGTCAAAGGCAGGATTCCAACCCAGACCTTCCTGATTCCAAGGCTTACAATCTTCTATCCACTTTGCCACACTTTTTCAGACAGGATCTCTTAAAGGTCTAAAATTCAGGGTGTAAATCCCCAAATCGTAGGACGTGGCAGTTCTTATTCAGAAGGGTTGTTTTGCTTTTGTTTCACAATACTGGCTTAATTCTCACTTCTGGTCTGGTTGAGATGAATTAAAGCACAGGAGATGTTTTAAGGTCTCTACAAACCCCTAGGGGTTCTTGATTTTATGATTTTCCCCGAACATTGTCATCCCTGCCCAGGCTGTTCCCAGTCTTGAGGGGCGGAGTCCAGCTGTGAGAGGCCCCTGCCCTGCTCCGATCTTGCTCCAATTCTCTACAGAGCTCCCCACCCCCACCAACTGGCCAAATTAGATTTCCCTTCCTCCCATACCAGCTGGTTGACCACATCCCATCCCCCTTCTCCAGAAAAACTGGAGAAAAGGCCAGAAAGAAGTCATGGAGTTACTGTGAAATGTCCTTCTTCCTCACCCTGCTCCACAGCATTGCTCTCCCACCCACTCCCCTAATTCCTTTGCCCCTATCCCCGAGGTCACCCTGTTCCTCTTCCTGTGCCCAGAGTGACCCCCATTGCTCATCTCCCCAGCCCTGTGACTCTCCCCCTGCAGTCTTCAACTGGTGAGGTGAGAGGTCAGGGTTAGAGTAGCTGGAGGCAGACAGAATAGCGGAATGATGTTATTAGTCCCCTGGGATGTGGGGAGAAAGGAATGGGTTGCCTCCTGCTGATAGCCCCGCTGTTTTTGTAACAAGACTTAGCCTGTAGCTGCTCCCACTGAGTCCACATCCCTTCTCTGGTTTCCCCAGCCCTTATCTCTTCCTGGATTTCCTAGACTGGAAGATTGTGTCCCCTCTACCCAGGATCACACAGCCTCTCCACATGTGGAGAGAGGGAGGGAGCTACCATATTGGAAAGGAGCCCAGAGGAGGAATGTCTCAATAGGGGAAAGAGTAGGAACTGCAAAGGAGCAGAATAAGGCTTCTGTCCCTTGGTTTCTTACTTCTTCAGCTTCATCCAGCCATTCCCCTCCCAGACTGTTGGTTTGTTGTTTTTTCTTTTTAGTAGAAAAAACAGAGGCCATCTTTTGCCTCATTACTTATCCTTGTCTTAATCACTGATTGGGTGTTGCCTCAGACAAACTGAGACCTGGGAAAGACCTAAGCTTAAAAAGGCCAAGGTCTCCCACTGCATCCAGGGCCATCTCCAGTTGTCCTGATCTTTATCTTGCCACTGGACCCAGATGGTTCTGGAGACTGAAGACTTTGCCCGGCCCTTCCTTACTTAAGTGCAGTTCACTTGCAAGTCAAGGCCTCACCTTCTTGACGTCATTGATCCTCTTCCAGAATGAAGGATAAAGAACTGCTTATACCTTGGGCCAGTGGTGTCCAACTCAGATAGAAATGGGGGCCACCAAACTATACCTATGGACCCCTCCAGGTGCATATTTAGACTTAGAACATTATCTATTTTCTTTTGCATTTTGTTAAAAGTTTCCCAATCACAATTTAATTTGGTTTGGTCTGTACTAGCAGGTTTGACACCTCTGCCTCTGCAAACATCACTCCCTGGCCCTGGTTTAGACTCAATCACCCTCTTAATCCAACGAATTCCCACCGATCCTTCAAAATTCAATCCAAATGCTCACCTCCTTCCCATAACTTCTTCCATCCTCCATCTTGTTCTTACTCACACACACACACACACACACACACACACAAACACACACAGAGCAATTTGTTCTGCCTTATATTGCATTTATCATATAACAATTATAGCTAGCATTTATATAGTACTTACTATGTGCCCAGCACTGTGCTAAGCGCTTTACAGTTTTTTCGTTCAATTCTCACAACCCTGGAAGGTAGGTGCTACCAATATGTCAGTATTTTGTATTATAGTTATCTCTGTTTGTCTTATTTCCCTACTAAGCTTTGTGAAAATGTCCAGCAATCTTATAAAACCTTTGTATATTCCCCAGTGCCTAGCAGAGTCATTTAATTAATTAGTTCCATAATTAATATATGTCTCATTGTTATTGCCCAGAAGGAAGGATTTAATGTTACCTTTGCACTGGTGGTATTTTTTTTCCTGTGAGTATTTTCTAATCATTTCCTTTTCCTAGTGTGTCCTACTCACTACCTGACTATATATTATACCTGGAATCTTCTAGGACAAGACTTTATATACTCTCAATATTAGGGCCAGGGGGAGAAACCACAGCCTTGACCTTTGATGTATAGCTCACTTCAAACCCGGGTCAGCAGCTCTCCCTTTCCCTTGATTCTTAAGCTTCTTTGGAGGCATTTTAGGGGTAAAGCTGCTTTGAAGCTTTCTGGTTACATCACCTACCCCTGGGCCATAACTAACAAGGTTGAGCAACTGGGGCTTTGTCCCAGGGTGCCAACAATGAGTGGGGTGAACTTCCTTTCCATGGGCAGCTCTCCAGGTTGACAGCTCTTCCTGTATCTGTCTCTTCCCCTCACTTCTTCATCCTAAGTACAGTCAAGACTCTTGGGGGGGCACTGCCCCTTCTCTTGGCACAACTACGCCCAACTTGCAAGATGAGACATATATCTTCAAACATGATCAATGAGGAAATTTGGGGTTTTTTTTAACTATGCATATTTGTTACTAGGTCTTTGTGGGTTTTTTTTTTCTTTTTTTTTCATGGCAGAAAAGAGGTGAAAAGGATAGAAAGCAGATTTATTTTAATTTTAAAAATTAGAAAAAAATTTAAAAATAACTACACCCAACTGAGGTGAATAGAGA